GTCACCTCCAGCTCCCGTCAGTGAAAGGATAACGGGTCGGTTCTTCCTAAGCCCACTAGAAAGCCCAGATGGACGCTCTAATACGACAACCACTTTCTTTTTTTTTTTCTTTCTTCGAAATAAAACAAAAGCAACTAGAGCCCAGAGGGATGCGGGTGTTGATAAATCTTCCTTTCCCATAATGCCTTTTTTCAAATCGCAAGTAGATGAACATAATTTTTATGGAGATGACGTAGATTTCTTAAACCATACTCTTTATTTCTTTCAACGGGTGAGATAAATGTCATGTATTAGATAAGATTATTAGATATTGGTATTTGAATTAGATTCAATGTATTTCGAATGATACATGGTCAAAATATTGTACCATTATTAATAGTCGAGAAAAGACATTAGTTCTATGGTCAAAATTTAGCCGTCTTTAAACTTTGAAATTTTGATCTAATTCATTTGAGAGCCAATCTATTATTGTCATCCATTTGGTTTTTACATAAGAAATTTCTATTGATGAAAGAGAGTCCATAAATTTTGGAGTCTAAGCACATCAACCCTTCACCCCGAGAAAAGAAATGTATATTAGCTTATTTTTGCTGATTTTAGTTCTTGATTTTTATATATCAATACTATTAGAGTAGTATTTAAGATTGTTGAGCATTTTCAAAACACAATTTTAGAATAAGACTTTAAAACAGAAAAACAACCTCTAATTTACCAAAAAAAAACTCTCGAGCATTCATTCAAAACTCTATCCAATCAAAGAGTAGTTTCATGGCTCCCTTTCTCATTATAAATGGTTATTTTTGTTCCTAGGAGCGATGGGAATGAGGAGGATTCCAAACTTCAAACGTGACCTTTTATCCCACATCGAGAGAAACAGAAACTACGTCCTTCTTTATCAAATGAAGTGGGAGCATGGCCCATCGCCGAGTTTGATCACTCAAACTTGTAACCCAAGTGGGGGGCACCAAGATGGTTGAAGGGTTAGTCCTACCAACTGGATCGGGCTTTGTCAAGAGGTTCACTGGGCCGCCCATTTCAAGCAGGGAGTGTGACTTCACATTGTTGGCGAAAGCTGATGATGCATTGCCTTTGAATTGGAGGAAACCGCGTGAGGCTGGTTCACAGAGCAACGTCACCTTCTATTCTCGACGGTGAAAGGATAACGGGCCGGCTCTTCCAAGCCCAATAGAGCACACTTGGCAGCTCTCAACCCGACAACTATTTTTTTTCCCTGCTTGGTGAAGGATATTAAAGTGAGGGGTTTTTGTTTTAACTGTTTTTAACATTAAAGGCAAAGAGAGGAAAATTGGGTTATGAATGATATTTTATTTTGACGCGTTAGAAAGAGAAATTAGCGAAAGAGAATATATAATCTATGGCCGACTTCATTGACTCAAGTTGAGTGGTAAAATGAAAACATTGGCGGAACCAAAAGTGTTGTAAAGATCCCTTAATATTTCTTCAAAACATTAGGTTCAGCTCTCTGCAACCAGAATCAATTGAAGTAACCAAACACATAATGGGTTCCCCAACAGCTAATTTGGTTGTGTTGTTCTTTGCTTTGCTTCTCCTTGTTGGAACCAACGTGGTGGCTCTTAAGACGGCGATGGAGATGGATGGTGTGAAACTGAGAGGCAAGAGATTACTTATTATTCGAGAGTTGGATGTTTCTTGGAGGGGAAATTATTCTCCTCCTCGGTCTCCTCCTCCTCCTAAGGACGACTAAGTTGAATCTCGAGTATTGTTTGTGTGTATTTTCCTTTCATTACTTTTTACTTTCGCGTTATTGGATTTTGACACAAGGATCAACTTGTTTCTGTTTTAAGCCATGGCCTTCAATCATATTGTATTATTGTGTCTTTGATATTGGGATCATCATCGGCCCTATGGCAATGGAGATGTTTTCATTACTTGTGATTTTCTTTACTTCTAATTGATGTAAAAACTATCGAGTATTTCTCATTCATCCGTATTGGGAATGTTGGGAGAGCTTGTTCTTAATCATAGATCAACCATTCTCTCAACAACAGATTGTTTGTCTTAATACAATTCAACTAGAATGATATTTGTGTAATATGAATGACAATTACTCTTTTGTTGCAACCTTCACAATCGTTTCCTTTTATCCAATATTTTTATTAGCTAAACATATCCATCTGTATAATATATAGATCTACAACATACTAGTTATTAAAATAAACAAGGCCGTCTCATACCACTTTTTAGTCAAGGATACAAGGATTTTTCATCTACACACAATTAAGTTTAGGACATGGCTTTAGTTAGTATCTTCTAATAAATCTTTTCATATATATCTACGCGATTGTATATATATGATATTGCATATCTTAGATTTTAACTGGCATAAATATTTGTTTATAGACTTAGGCCCGAAAACTTCATTCAAATTGACATATTGCTCTTACTTTATCATTTCATTTTCTTTCCACAAGTCAAATTGTTAATATAAAACTATATTCGTCTTTGTAATACTTTTATATAATATCTATATTCAAGTAAGGTAGTGTTCGATTCTAAGATTTGGACACAGAGATAGGTTAGGTCCATATTTTATATTCGTTAAATTTCTTCCATTTATCTCAAAGGCTTTTGCTAAGACTAGTTTCTAAACTCTATTTTTATATGAAAATTGAAGCTCAGGGGTTTTTCAATTTTCAATTTCCAAATTTTGATAAAAAAATTTATGGGGATGAGGGGCTTCCAAGTTCCAACCTCATTCTTTGTCCCATATTGAAAGAAATTAAAGATGCAGCCTTCTGTATGTAATGACCCGGGAAACTGTACAATCGCCGGGCTTGGTAACACCTGCTTATAACCCAAGTGGGGGCATTAAAGTTGTTGAAGGTTGGGCTGATCCATTGGGGCCGGGTTGAGAAACACTATATCTGGCCCGCCCGTTTCAAGAACGGAATTGGGCTCCGAATCTTGGACGAAGGCCCACGGTTTAGTTCCCCTAGTTCGGAGGGAACCGCATGAGGCTGGCTTCACAGAGCAGTGTCACCTCCTATTCTGATCAGTGAAAGGAAAACGGGCCGGTTCTTCATAAGCCCAATTGTTGCCCAATGGGAAGCTCTAAACTCGACAACCATTTTTTTTGTTTTTTTTGTCTTTGCCTCCCTTCCTTCTCCTTTTTTCTTTTTTCTTTTTTCTTCCTTCTTTTTTCGATTTATGGATTGATTCGGTGCTTACATCACTAAATAGTGGAAAAAAACTTCGTCATCCTACAAATCATTATTTTAGTCTAAGAAAAGCACTCTTCAAGACCGTCTATTGTTTTTGCCTTCCTTCCTTCTCTCTTTTTTTCTTTTTTCTTTTTTTTTCCTTCTTTTTTCGATTTATGGATTGATTCGGTGCTTACATCACTAAATAGTGGAAAAAAACTTCCTCATCCTACAAATCATTATTTTAGTTTAAGAAAAGCACTCTTCAAGACCGTCTGGTGATCCAATTACATTATAAATCGTGATATTGATTTCGAATATAATCATGATAGGTTATTCATCCTCATTTCGTGTTGCGTGATCAACACTACACATATTGTAATAATGGTCATCTAATAACCTCACCGATCCACGACACTTGGAATAATCTATTTCCACAAATTTGTTAAGGTATATGAACTAATTCTTGTTCAGAATATCTGACAATGATTTTCAAAAGGTTAAAAAAAAAAAGAAAAAATAATTGATCCATTTTACATCATAAACTCCAGTCATCTTTTCATTAAACTTAACAAATTCGTCAGTATAAGGACTATATTTAAACATATTTTTGAAAACATTTAAGTGGCAAAAATACGCGATTTTGAAACATAGGAACCAATCAAATGTATATAACTTACAATTTAGGGACGAAAAAAAGGTACTTTTCCAAAAATTAAACATATATTTTTGAGTTTTCAATGTTAGAATGTTTTTTAAATTTAGTCTTTTATTATTTAAACAAATTCAACTTAATCCTTAACATTTTTCAATTGTACTATATTTCTTTTTTTCTTTTCTTTGTTTTTTTGGGTAAAAGTAAAAAAGTTAAAATACATTGATGTTGAAATGAGGAAGAAAAAATATCTAGCCATGGGAAACCAATTATTATCCCTATTACTAGGTTGTGTCCGAAAAATCAAAAGTTGGGCAGCGACACAGCAATAAAATCCCAAAACAAAGCCTCGACCACTTAAATTGGCCGACTTGTTTGACTCTTTAAATCCACACATCCATGGAAGAGAATGATCGAGTCTTCTTGCATTGGCCCATTTTCAAGTTTAATCCTTTAGTTTGCCTAACATCACCCCATCTTCAGCTATCAGAAAAAAAATTAATGGCGTCCACCACTAGAGTTTTGTTTGTGTTGATCAAGCTACTTTTCTTTGCTTTTCTTCTCATTGCCTCTTCTGTTTCTGCAACAAGCAACACTCCTTTTCACCACAAATCGCGCACTCGTAAGTTGTTCATTCCGATGACGAACGTCACTTTACTTCGAGAATTTAGAAATAAAGCTTCCATTTCTATAAATTTATGTAGTTTGTATTTTGATTTATGCGTTTGTTCTTTTGAAAAAAACAGTGTTAATGTATAGTTAGGTGAAACTTAAAAACATAATTGTAGGTTTCTATAATTTGGATTTGAGTAGAATAATTAACAATTTTACTGTTGAAATAAAAAAATGTAACTCACATACTAAGCATACGATCGATAGATTAGAAACTGAACATAACCACGAAAACAACATCTATAAAAAAGTTTAAGAATGAAGATAAGATTTATATTGTCGTGATTTTAACTTTTTAGATTTGGATTTTTGGTATCAGGTAAGATGGGGGTGGAGGTAGCAAAAGTGAAGAAACCATTTGCTGATGATGTCCCATGGGGTGGAGGCTATGTCCCTCCAATATTAAGCAACCCTTAGATCACATTTCCAAATCTTTTGATCAATCAACTGTGCGTTTTTCCTTTAATTTGGTATTGTTATTGGCATTTTGGGAGCATCAATCTCTAATCCTACATGTAACTCGTTGTTCTCTCAATGCTCGAGCTATTTTCCTTATCGAAATTGTGTATGATCATAACATGCGAGTATTCCCGATAAAAAAATAGATGAGAAATAAAACTCCAATGTAAGTGTGATGTGAGTTAGATGATGAAAGTGACGGTCATGTTTAAGGTTTGTGTGCGACAATTTAATTGAGATGAGAGATGCCTTTATTAGTTTATATATATCATTGTTATTATGATAAACAAAGATATGAGACTAAAATGAAAAATCCTAAAAATTATCCCAAAAGAAAGCACATTTTATATATTCACATATTAGTTGGAAAAAATTTATATATAAAACATATCATGATCTCAAACTTAATTGGGTGATTATTTTACTTACTTTYGAGGAGTCAAGGCACTCCAATTAAAGGGAGAAGCAGATTGATAATTTGAAATTCTCTATAAAAAAAAAAACTTTGCTAACTAGATTAATGATCGGCAACAAAAATTGCCTAAATATGTCTTTCGAAATATTCAGAGGTTAAATTTCTAACCTCCACATTTATAATATATGTTTGAAATATATCTTTATATATATATAGGTGATATTGTCCATTTTGAATCTTAATTTGCACAAATATTTGTAGGTATATATTGGCCTTACTTTATCGTTCCAATTTTTTCCTCATGTCAAATTGTYGATAGGAAAGCTATAAAAATAAATAGTGCTCGATTGTGAAATTTGAACTCAAAGATAGGTTATGTTCCTATCTCATCTTTGTTAAATCTCTTCAAATTTGTCTCCGGTCAAAACCATTTTCTAAACCTTCGTTTCTTTACTCTAAACATTAAGGTATTGAGATTATCTGCATGTTTTTTATATGAAAATCAAAGCTCAGGTTTTCAGTTTTCACATTCTAAAAGTTTCTAAACAAAAAGAGTAATGGGGATGAGGAGGCTTCCAAGTTCCAGCCTCATTCTCTATCCCATATCGAAAGAAATGAGAGCCACAGTTTTCTTGATGGAACGAAGCGGGAGGCAGCTCAATCGCCGAGCCTTGTTACGCGGGCTTGTAACCCATGTGGGGGTATTAACGTGGTTGGAGATTGGACCATTTCATTGGGCTGGGCTGCGGAAGATATGATCTGGATCGCCCATTTCAAGAATGGAGTTGGGCCTTGTGTCTTGGGCGAAGGCCCAAGTTGCTGTGCCCTTAGATCGGAGGAAACCGCATGAGGCTGGTTTCACAGAGCAGTGTTACCTCCAATTCCACTCTGTGAAAGGATTACGGGCCAGTTCTTCCCAAGCCCAATTGTGCCCAAAGTGATTCTCTAAGCTCGACAACCATTTTTTACTTTTTATTTATTATTTTTTTGGTTTCAACCTTCCAGGTCATTTTTTGGTCAAACGTACCATTTCGGCTTATTTTTCCATTATATATTTATAAATAAACACTTATCAATGCAACTTGGAGGTAGGTAAAATGTCAAGTATATACTACTTAGTATATATGTAATAACTGCAAAAATAATGGGTGGTATATACGGATTAAATCTAAATCTAAACTCACAAGCGGTTCAAGATAAGAAAATAATCATCTAAAGGCCCATTTGGTAATGTTCTTCGTCGGTAGATGTCGATTCCTAAAAAAATTTGAAACAAAGATTTATGGGGATGAGGAGGCTTCCAAGTTCCAACCTCATTCTTCGTCCCATATTGAAAGAAATTAAAGCCACAGTTTTCTTTATGTAATGAAGCGGGAGATAGCTCAATCGCCGAGCCTGGTAACACACGCTTGTAACCCAATGGGGGGCTTTAATGTGGTTGAAGGATGGGCCATTTCATTGGGCCGGGCTACGGAAGAGATCTTCTGGCTTGCCCATTTCAAGAATGGAGTTGGGCCTTGTGTCTTGGGTGAAGGCCCGAGGTGCTCTGCCCTTAGATTGGAGGAAACCGCACGAGGCTGGTTTCACAGAGCAGTGTCACCTCCGGTTCTGGTCAGTGAAAGGATAACGGGCTGGTTCTTCCAAATCCCAATTGTGCTCAATGTGATGCTCTAAACTCGACAACCATTTTTCTTTTCTTTCCTTTTTTTGATTTCAAACTTTTCGGGTCAGTTTATGGTCAAACGTACCATTTCGGCTTGTGGATTGACATTTTTCCATTATATATGTATAAATAAACATAAGTCGTTATCTATGCAACTTGGAGGTAGGGAAAATGCAAAGGTAAAATGTCAAGTATATACTATTTAATATATATGCAAAAATAATTTATGGTATATACGGATTAAATCTAAACTCATAAGTGGTTGAATATAAGAAAATAATCATCTAATGGCCCATTTGGGAATATTCTCTGTCGTTGATGTCGATTTCTGGATTGGCCACTTAAGTGCCACATGACTGTAGGAGCGTTGACGGTAACTTACTATGATTTAGATACCAACTCGAAGAGCATTCGTTTACATCTCCTTAGGGGGTCTTCATCTTCTAGCTCAAAGTTCATCTACATGTAGAAATATAACATTGGTGTGGTCAGTGATGCTCTGTCGAATGCGCTTGGATGGATAAGTTAGAACTTAAGATGAGAGAAAACGAGCATGGAGTAAGTATCTAATGTAAGAATCTCACTGAGAGTTTGCTTGAAAACGTGTGTCGAATTCGTATAAGAGTGTGCTTAGGGTTTCCGTGTTGTTTATACATCGCGAGAGAGAGTGTGTGTGAGAGAGAGGCACAGAGAGAGGAAAGTCGTGTCGGGAGGATGTTGAACCACTGACACTCTTATTCCCTTTGCATATTACAAGAGGGTGCGACGACGTCTTGGGAGATTCTCTGGAGCGTATCATGATTTGGACACAATGTGTCAACACCACCTTCGATGGCTGTCTACCACACAAGTCGTCCAAGTGCGCTTGGCCCTTCATCTTGGTGCGTTCTGCTTTGCTCGAGTGTCGTCGATGTGGCTTATTGGAACCTGAGCGAGTGTTGCCTTGATTTTTCCAATAACATTTCTGTTTCATGTTTATGTTTTCCTCTCTTTAATAATAAAAAATAGAATTACATGGCTCAAACATCAATAGATTCAAGAATGATAAAACAAAACAATATATTACTATGTTTTGGAACAAATTAGAAATAGGAACTCGTTGTTTCTAAAATCTCTATATAATTTTGATAAGGTTTCTAAAAAATGAGAAACAATAAATATAGATGGTTATTTTTTAATAAATTAAAAATAATAAACAAGAAACAAGAATCAACCGACATAAATTACTTTTATCTTATATATAAATATATACGTTGTGATCTTTGTAAGTGTGAGTTGAATTTAGCTAGTGGCAATTTGGCCTCGTCGTTGGTCCCACATTGAAAGAAAATAATCCCACAGCTGTGTTTATGTAATGAAGCGGGAGACGTAACAATCGTCGAGCTTGGTAACGCAAGCTTGTAACCCGTGTGGGGGCATTAAAGTGGTTGAAGAATTGTTAATCATCTTCAGATTGGGCTGAGTTCTCAAATCCCAGGGATCTTTTTGTTTGGGTAAAAGCCCATTTGTGAACGACGGAGTAATTGGGCCTTGCATCTTGGRCCCTAAAAAGTAAAGCCCAGAGGAAACAGCCTTGAAAGACTGGCTTCCCAGAGCCTACGTTACCCCCAATCGTCGTGCAGTGGCGTGTGTGAGTGGTAACGGGGTCGGTTTATTCCCAGGCCAATTGGAACCTAACGATTCCGACAACCACTTTTTTCTCCATTAACATTTTCAGTTCCTTTGTATTCTTTTTTTTTTTCTTCGAATTTTTAGAAATAAGTTTGGTTAAGTCTCTAATAAAAACATTATTGGATTGATATTACAAATCCGAATATATTTTACATCACTGATTAGCTGTTAAAAAACATCTGTACTCTTTAATTATTTTCTTTTCACCTCTACTCTAATTAACAATCTTACGTAAAATCCGACCATTCATTAATATTTGTGGACAAAATAAGATCTCAAGAACAAAGAAAGAAGCTAAAAGATATCCATGGCCAACTTCATTGACTAACGTCTTCAAAGTGAAGCTCTCCAATTGTTATATATCCATGGCCATCATAAACTCTCTTTCTCCAACTCAACCAAAAATTGAATGGCTCCCACAGGAGATTTGATCTTCTTCTTTGATTTGCTTCTCCTTGCTTTCCACGTTTCTCAATGGAAACTTGTTGGTAATTCTCTAATTAGTTTTCTCTTTGTCAGATGATCATTTCACAAATTCACAAGTAAATGAATGATACAATATATACTATATGGTTTCGATGGAAATTAAAAGAGAGAGAGATCATTGTTTTCTCTAATAATTAGTTACCATACTTCATGTTTTTTTCAACAGGTGAGATGAACTATGGCAGTGTTAAGGGCAGGAGATTATTTATTAGAGATCAATTGGATTGGCCCTTGGAAGGGACACTATAAATCTCCTCCACCTCCTCCTAAGGGCTAAGTCTTTGAATGTTTAATTAAYTTGCTCTGTATTTTCTTTAGTTATATGTCTTTTGTCATTGAAGAAGAATTTGTGTTTTGTTGGATTTTGAGTTTCCCAACTTGTTTTATTTAACGTTGAAAAGTATCGGTAGAAATTTCGCCTTTCTTTTTTTAATGAGTTTTTCTTCTTCTACACTTCTAAATCACATATTTTATAATCGGTTAATTTTAACATTCACCAACAATAAAATGAAATAGTATAATTAGAAAACGTTAAAATGTAAGGGAGTTTCTAAATTCTTCTAATCTCTTAGCTAAAAAAAAGAAAAAAAAATCCTTATACAATCTCTATTATGTCTGTCTTGCATGCATCTCTTCAAATGATAATAGCTATTTGCATTTTTGTTAGGAGCAAAATTTAATAGAAAGCTTCTATTTCATTAATCAAAGATAAGTGAGATTTGTATTATTTATCAGTCTAATGGCGGATCCAAAACTTTACGATGAGGCTCAAATTTGTATAAATTACAAATTGTTCTYAAATTAATATAAATTACAAATTTATCCATTAAATTTGGATAAATTACAAATTTATCTTTAAATTTTTAAATTTGTGTCTAACATGTTTATAAACTTTAAAAAGTATCAAATAGATATTTGAACTTCTAAGTGTGTTTATTAATTAGGTTATTTTATTATGTTCTCACCTTAAAAATAGTCTAATAGATTATAGATATATTTGACAAAAAAGATTGAAAATACGAAACGC